AGTTCCTCAGATGTTGTTGTTCAAGTGGGTCGACAGGCAGCGTTTAATAAACTCACCAGATGTTTAATATATGAACCTAAGATTCTACAGATGCTCTTTAAATCTCTGTAGATTATGTAAAAACGTTTAAAACTAATCAGACGGTTGATCAGAAGGAGCCTGATGAATTCAAACCATTCAGGGTCTTTTCTACCTGAATCAGAGACACATTGAACCCAGACGTCGAACACAGCAGGTTGGAAGAAACCAGAACCACCGTTAATCTGGTGGGAATCAAACCCTCAACCCCTTCGCTAAACTCCTGGTGAACACTCCAGTGCTCCACTAACCGTCCCAGTGATCCCACACGCACTAAGTCCATTTACCATCTGGGCAGATTAAGCAGGACCCTGAGCCCGAACATCAGGCCCGGCCGGACTCGATCGGCCCCTGACTGTCTGGCATCTGGGCAGATTAGAGCGGGATGAGGCCTCCAGCTGCTGACCTCCATCCTGTGATCAGCCTTTGTGTTGGGCCTCTGGATCAGCGCCTCAGTCAGACCTTTGTTCCGCTCAGTGGACGTTAACGGGCCGTTTGGTTCAGTGTTGCTCCAGACGCTCTGGAAACGTTTTGTCGGTTTTACAGGCAGCCGCTCGGGATTCACGCAAACATCATAATTGTGTTTTCATTGTGGAACATCTGTCTGGTTGGTGCTGAAACTAAAAACCCAGCGAGGCGTCTAATGGAGCCGAAGCCTGGAGGCTGCAGAGCTCAGCGAGCTGCTGCTGCCCCCTGCTGGCCGGAGGTTTGAGCTGCACACAAAGACGCAGGCTGGTTTGAATTATGTAAAAAAAATCTAAATAATAGTGACTTTATTTATATTGAACCTTTTAAATAACGGGTTTACAGACACACCAGAACCTCAGGGTGATTACTGGACAAAAAAAAGAGAAGTAAAAGTATGAAGTAGAGTTAAACATGGTAAAAGAAAAATAAAATAAAATCTTTACTGAGACTTTCTATAAATGTTATTGATCCACAAAGTTTTATAACAGTCGCACAAAATAAACTATTATAAAAGATTATAAGAAAAATGAAATAATAAAAAAAGAAGTAAAAAAACAAGCAGGAAAAAAAGAGAATACAATACAAAGAGTTCCATCTGTACAGTTTACAGCTTTACAGTGTTTTGTTTTGTTTTTGTTTGTTTGTTTTTTGCCAAGTAAAGAGAGACAATAAAATAAATAATAATAAGATGATAAAATAGAGTGAAATAAAATAAAAATGAAGATGAAAAAAAAAACTGTTGTACAGATGAATGGAGAACGGTACATCAAGCACCAACGCATAAAAAAATTAAAAATTAAATTAAAAAAACAACAACAAAAAAGCAGCTAAAAAAGAACATAAAAAAATAGAGGTTAAAACCATAAGATGAAATAATAACAGCACATACAACAATAATACTGCATAATAAACGTAATATTAATTAAGTAAATAAAAAAGAAATAATAATACTTCTTATTATCTTGCTTATGTATTATTTATTTAGACTTTTTCCTCTTTTTAATGAGCTGTATGACTGTCTGGGCCGAGGACGTTGTTCTTCTGTTTGTATGATCAGTTTTTATGTCCGACCTCAGTGATGAGCTGAAATAATGATAAATCTGTAATTAAAGCTTCATAAAGACAGAGCTTCATCAGAGCGGGTGTGTGGGAGTGAACTACAAGTCGCTGCATGTGTAGACGGGGTTTCTGATCTTCATGTTGTCGTGTTTCAGAGGGAGGAGGCTGAAGCCAAAGCCCGAGAGGAGGCCGAGCGTCAGCGCATCGAGAGGGAGAAACACTTCCAGAAGGAGGAGCAGGAGCGCCTGGAGAGGAAGAAGGTGAGAACGAACACTTGTAGAGTTCATGAAGTCACAGTGGAGTTTAAAAGCATCTCACAGTCTGGTGTGTCTGATGTGTGCAGCGTCTGGAGGAGATCATGAAACGGACTCGCAAGAGCGACGCCGGAGAGAAGGTCGGTGAGATTAGTTTTAGTCAGACGAGAGACTTCCTCTTGTCTTCGTGGAATAACTCGAATCTCTTTGTTCTTTATAATCGCAGAAGGACGTCAAAGCTTCTCCTCAGGTCAACGGCAAGGACACAGAGCTCAGCAAAGGTACCGCTCACCCCTCATGTCGGA